TATTTGCCCATCCAAGGTGTGCAACTAAAAGGGAGAAAAAGAGCCTTATTACTGAAAAGTTGACTACAGGAGAGTAGGTTTCATCATAGGTATCGTATTTAATTTGCCGATAACCCTGAGCCACTAAACGAGCTTTAAAACGAACAATGTTTCCAAATTCGTCACGTTTAATGTTGAAAATCCACCTGCAACCTAGTGGAGTCTTGTCTTTAGGAAGTGGAACAAGATGCCATACCTTATGCTTTCGCATGTTGGCCATTTCCTCTTCCATTGCCTCTATCCATTTAAGCTTTCTTTTCTGCAGATTTCATTGCATTGCCTGGTTATAAGTGTTTGGAATTGAAACATCTAGTCAGCTATCTCGGGTATACGACGTTGAAGGAGTACCAGTTGGGTCGATTTCACCACTATAAGTATTGCTTCCCTTGAAATCAAACAAGGTAGATCATACTGAATATTGTTCAGTCATCATTCACTATCAGTTTCTAATCAGGCTTACATTCATATAAATTAACGATAATGCCAATCGACTTCTATTTTGATAGTCGGCAATAATTTCTTTTTTAATACCTTAACATCATTTAAATCAGGACGTTTTTCAATACCTTAACCAAAAGCCAAGCATTTTTTTCATTTAAGACAAACTTCATATCTTTAGACCATGTAAAATAGTTACATTGCATCAAGTTTAGCAATACTTATACATGACACTAACAGTAGCCATATTTGAATTTTAACAATAAAAAAACCGCCCCCCAGTGTCTCTTAAGTCCCTAATTAACTTTAAACTTCAAAAGTCTGCACTAAAGGTAACTCAGGGAGCTGGAGGCCCATAACCAAAATGATGCAAAAGCAAAGTTTAAAGTTTAAAGAAATTAAACATTTAGCAGAAAGTGGCAGTAGAAAGCTCCCTGAGATTATATACTGTGCAGACATAGAAGACAAAAGGATTTTAAACTTAACCAATTATTAACAATAATAAAGAATAAAACATAAAAATAAATGTCAACAATATTAGAATCTCAGGAAAAATATAATATAATCATATCATTCATCAAATATTTTTTCCTGGTCTCCAAAACACTGGCATTCTATACAAACAAAAATTGTCCTAAACAGTGACTATGCGGCCTAAAAATAAAGCTGGCTACCCATTCAATAAGTCCATAATCAATGGTCAAGAAAAACACCTGAAAATTTAAATGTGAAAACACTTAAAACCGGCCTAACTCCATTTGCACAAGGAATCGCCGTTCACGTATTTTTAATTCCGCCTTCATTGAAGAACATGGATGCCACCCACGGCAGTCACTCACAGGATAGCCTCTGGAACCGAAGAACTTTAATCTGGAACCATCATCTCGCAAACCGGAATCAAGGCATTTTTATTCACGGGACTGCAGGCATCCTTTTGAAGGGGCTGGAAACCGCTCACTCACTTGCCGGGGAACCAGGAACTAGAAGGGTTGAGCCAGAGCGACGCAAGATACTTATAGCAGAAGTAGGAATGACGTCATCTCACGGCAACCAATCAGCTATCGGCACGAATCGGTTTTTCAAGATGACGTAACATCAATGCTTTCGTTTTTGCATTCTCAATTAGGTTGGAAACAGTCCGTTCTTCAATGCAAACAGTGGCAGCAAGAAAAGAAGTAGAAGTAATACTATATTACATTAAAACAAGGACTAAACTAAATAAACATTTCAAGGAGGAGAGATGATGCAGTAAAAGGTTTAAAAATAAGGTATATTTTCCAACAAAGATAACTAATCCATGAATTAATTTACTTGCACCAAAAAATATTTTCTTTTCCTTGAGAGTTTAAAGACATTTTAAACAATATTCATTTTATGAACTCTTGATAACGTGACCTTCGAACTTCGACACCGGTTTTGAGCTTTGGCGACAGATATATCGCGCATGCACAGCTGTTTCCCACTATGATGGAACCGAGCCACGTCTGTTGCAGAGAGGTTTTCCTTCTTTACAATACATATTTTTTTAATTCTAACCTTCATGGTACCGTATACTAGGATTAAACCCATTTTGTTTCATACGATAACAGGTACTTTCTTTAGTTCATGCACTGCACATGCGATTCTCGAGGTTACTGGAAACCAAAAGTTGCGGGAAACTTGCTTTGCCTTTCTAAAAAGACAATCAAATTGGAGCTGCGAAAATTGGTTCTATGCCAGCTGCCCGAACGACACTCACGTGATACACAATTCGCCAAAAAAAGTGATCTCTTCTCTTCCGACGTCGGCGCAAAAATCGCCTTTTTTGGCGGGATCATTGTATGAAATTCCCTGACTTTTTCAGATTTTGACTAAAACACTTAAATTCCCTGACTTTTCCCTGAATTTTTTGGTCAATTTCCGAATTCCCTGACTTTTTCCGGTTTTCTCGGTAGCAGGGCAACCCTGCAAACAGGTTGCCTCTGAAAGTAAAATTACAAAGTTCAAATAGAAGACAACCAATAGTTCAAATAGTGGACAACCTGGGTCCTTACCGCCCACTAAAGGGCGTTTCAGTTTTCATAGCGGAGCAACCAAAAGCCACTGCGATTACATATTAACCGACTAATTGTTGACCAGTCAAGATTAGTACAACGGTCAGACTTATACAGGGCATTTGTATCGTGACTGCACCCGACTTCTTTCGTGACCATCTGACCAACGCCATGAGACGATAAGGATGTCTTGCATACCGAATTTGATAACAGCGCAGCTTGCCAAAAGTCGTGACCACGCGACAGAATTTAAGTGCAAAAGTTTTGTTCATGTGATGTAAGTGAGGCTACTAAATCGTTACGTAATCGAAACTAAAGTCAGTGCGTAGTTAGCTCATAACTTCTAACAAAATATCTCAAAGAAAAAAAAAAAAAAAAAAAAAAAAAAATGCTCAGTTATTCGCCAGAGAGCATCTCAAGATGGGTTACTAGAATCTGTCGCAATATTGTGCCATACACACTATCCAACGAGGCAATGAAGATAAGTCAATTACGAGAACATCTTTCTTCAAAACATTCTTCATTATATAAAAACTTTCAAAATCGTTCAACTATCATTGTGCCATTTAAATTGCTGACGTGATTTTTGCACAACTTTGCTCAATTTGAGGCGTAGAATTGAAATATGGGATTAAACTGGCATTTCATTTTTAAAAAAATCTGGTTTTTAGTCAAATACACATGTCAGAACAATGCTAGATATATTTTTAGTCACGCTACTGATATGAAAAACGCAGTAAATTGGCCAATTGGAAAAAGGAGATATACTAACTGATCCAGAAAGTAAGTACCACTTGGATGTTAAAAAAGATTAGTCATTTGTTACCTTTTATATTTAATTACAAAAAAATCTACACCCCTTAAATTACTTTTCGACGTATTTACCATCAGCATTAAGGCATGTGTCGTATCTTGGCACTAACTGCAACAAATTCGGAGAATTTGGCCACCCGCGACGTGAACCAGTTGTGGATGTTTACATAAATTTCATTATCACTTGCAAAGTGCAGGCCGGCAAGAAATTTCTTGAGAGAAGGAAACAAATGGAGAGCTAGGTTTAAACTATAAGCAGGTTGACAGAATTCTTCCTAGTGAAATGAATCAAGCAGCGCTATTGTTACGTGTGTTGCATACAATCGCGCGATACCCACCTTTGTTCTGTGTCGTGCGGCATAAGTTCTTCAGTGTCTCGCAGAAGGCTGCAGAGATGACTGTTGTGCCTCACTTCATTTAGTCCACTTACAAAATTTTTTGACAATCCCAGAACACGGTGTGCACGATTTTTCTCGAAAAAAGAGGTGGGAAATAGGTTTTTCGGGAATCAGTACACCACCATTCCAGTGACTACTGCTTTGTTTCAGGTATCTCATAATAAATGTATGTTTCATCGCTTGTGACAATCCATTAAAAAAAATCATCTCCTGTTGTATATCGCTGAAAAAACTCCAAGGCTGTTTCCATTAGCATTTTCAGAAGCCATCGTAGCATTCCAGTTTTTTGCAGTACAAATGCTCAGTCACAATTTTGAGTATTAAAGATCATAAAACGTTGAAATGATCGAAAATGCACTGTCAAATCAGAAATCATTAATCGCCTAATGGAACAAACTTTCTCGTCAACCAATTCTTCGATGATCAACGACGGAGTCCATTGTACTCCTCGACTGGACATTTTCCCTTCCTTCGTTAATCCACTTTCCCCCTTACATTTCTGCATTCTCTCTGCAAGTTTCACTTATGTAACAATAACGCAATCAAAAACTTGATATTGGCCTTTAGTTTACAGCTGGCAGGTCGATCGATTGTTTTAAACATGATTAATGACAAACATTAACGTAAACAAATAAAATGACTAGGCTACTTTGTTTTCAAAATGTCCGATGTAACTACACATGCATGACCTTTGTCCTATCAAATGCGCAGCAGATATGCGGAAAAAGCACTTTCAGGATCAGGAAACGGGCCCAACACATTTTTTTTTAAGTCAAGGAAAAGCATTTAATTATTTTTCACAAACACCTTACATACATAAACTGTTCATTTTAATTGTTATTGCATTATTGCTTTATCAAAACCTTTTATAGCAGAGCACTGATATTACATAAATTAAAATCTACTGAATACATAAAATATAATAAAATGAAATATTTCTTTGATTGCTATCTTTCTTTCTTTCTTTGATTGCTAAGCTTTGAATGAAATAAAGTGACATTTAGGTGGAATTTTTTAAAATTTCATTGCATGCTAAATGACTTAACAGTAATTTTTTTGAATTATTTTCTGAAAATTAGTAAAGTTCTTTACACTTAAATATATTTGATTACAAAAAAACTGCATTACATTTAAAAAACATAGTTTCTTACTGCATATCTGCAAAAAAAGCACTGATGTTATTTGATAAGATGTGGCATTTTCATAGTGATAAAAATAAAACAATGATTCGCTATGTACATTTGTTATATATTTTTATAGAAAATAACAAATCCATTTCTTTCTTTTTTTTACAAATCAAACTTTAATGCGAAATAGTACATGGAATATATACATAGTTGATAATCCTACTGCAAGCAGAGTTAGATATAAAACTGCGTTAAAATGTTCTTTGCACCCAACAGGTACCTGAAAACTTATAGAATGCATTTCCTAAGGGAACAAAGTAGGATAAAAATACATTAAAAATTCCTCAATATTTTTTTTCCAAATTAAATATACGGAGGCCGTTCGCAAATTTTTAGACGATTTTGCTTTGCTATTAAAAAAATTGTCTGCTTGGAATTTTTTTTTAATTGCAGATATATTTTTTAAAGTATAAATTAGCATCTGCTACTTGACATTTTTGTTTTCATGCAAAATGGCGCTTTTAAAGAAGTAGTGGATGGAAGGCTACGTTAGTCCTCTTAACAAAGAAATTTAGTCCTATCTAGTTATTAAAAAAAATTTTATAAAGCCATGAGTTTTAAATATCTAAATCTATGACAGATAATACTGTCAACAAGAAAGGAAGGGGGAAAACAAACTGAGTGTCAGGCTTCAAGTGGAAAAATTCTTCAAAATACCCTCCCCTTTCAAAAAAATTGAATGTTGCAAAGGTAAGATTTTTAATGTTAAAAGAAAAGCCATTAAGTCAAAGGACAGTTGTAAAATTATTAAAATGCTGAAAGCCAACTGTAAACAAAGTTGTTAATGCTAATTTGAAACTTAAAAGGGTGAAAAATCATAATATGCATCATCTTTCTCCATGATATATCACAAAATGTGCTGCAGAATGTTTTATCAGAAGCATTTATCCAGACAAAAATGGAAAACTGTTGTCACAATAGATAAATATTGGGTGTATTTAAATGATTTAAAAAAAAAAAAAAAAAAAAAAAAGGATCCAGGTACTATCATCAAAGAGGAGAAAAAAATCTTAAAACATGGTTCAGAGAATCTAAAGAAAGTTTTCTAATGGGATTTATGATTATTGCTGGTTTTTCATATAAGGGCAAATTAAAAATAAAGAGAGTGGAGAAAAATGTTAAGATGAATTCCACATATTATCAGGACCATATTTTATACCCAGTTTCCAAATGTGAAATACCTCCTCTTTACACACAGTGCCATCATCAGTAGATCTGCATCAAGACAAAGCAAGTAACCACATGTCAAAATCCACTGTTAGTTTCCAGGAAAAAATGGGAAAAGAAGCAGGTATCAAGGCCATCGTACCCTTCACTCATATCTCTACTAAATCGCTGGATATTCATGGATTTTTGCTCTTTTAGACTTCTAAAAAGCAAACTGTCCAAACGTCGACCTACAACCCAACCCTCCTTGGACTTTGGAAAACTGTTCAAGCGGAATGGAATAAAATATCTCTTCCGATACTAAAAAAGGCTTTATTTCATTGTCTTGAAAATTATGGTGTTGAAAGATAGTGAAGAATAAGGGTTATCAAACAAAACATTTAAAACACAATTTTAGCTAAATTATTTCTGTAAAGACAATGAAAATCTTCTAAAAAATGTGCGAACAGCCTCTGCATACTATATCAACTATAAAATTGTTTTATGGTTATTTAAATTATCATAAATTGCACTAGTTATGATTTGTTTGAAAGAGTACAGTACCTACTGCTTATTAAAATCACCTTCATTCCAAACATACTTGTGTTTGTTAAGCAACTGACGACGATTTGTACATTGCTAATCATGATATCAATTTTAAACATTTCAAGTAAAATAATAACTACCAACTAATTCCAAAAATAATAATTAAGAATTAATGCTAGAATTATACTGTTTATGCAACTTTGAAATTAGTTTTAATATTTTATAAAAATATTTTTATAATTATGTTCTTGAGAAAATTTTATCTTTTAAAAACAAATATCTTGTCTTCATTTGCTTCATATTAATTCAACACCATTTTTTCAATTTTTTTTTGGCTTTTTTTTTTATCAGCATCTTTCAATTCAAGATTTTTTTTGGAATTGGCAGTGCTTTTCTAATCTTGATTGATGATGCCAAGTCATTTCTTTTTTTCTGTATAACTTTCACTGTCAGATTCTGCAGTTTTTTTAATACTTTTATGCACATACCAATATTATTGTGGACTAACATATATATTTTAAAAATGAATCCTCATAACTTACTTCACTGATGTCGGGATCAGTAGCTACAATTTTTAGTTTTTAGATTCCTCGGAGGCTTTTTCTTTACAAAAACCACATTTTCAAAAACTGATTTTAATAAATTCTAACAGATTAACCTCCAGCACTGATTATATTATGCATGGACTTTTAACAGAGATATCAGCTAACTTATCACTTTCAAATTTGCATTTTCACAAAATTCAATTTTGTTCAACATTTTCTGAATATATTTTCTGTAATAACATTTGAAAGCTTTTATTACCCTGATTTTATTTACCCTGATCTAAAAGCAGAACGTTAGAAACTGTTAATGCACAAAATTGAAATTTATCTTTTGGTCCCACTGGTCACAAAGATACCAAAGGTTCACTATTCTAAGAGTTTCAAATGTAAACAAATGGTGGCCTTGTTAGGGTTAGCACCACATAAACTTTTAAATTGTCAATAATTCTACAACTATTGCATGCAGATTAAGTAAAGGCATAAAAACCTTAACTGGAACATAAGAACAGCATAATTCAATCACTTTTAAAGAAAAAAATGCACAATTTATCAAAATATATGAATAAAAAACAGTTCATTGAGCTGGATGAGAGGGTGAGTACTGTATATTCTGGCATATAATGCCCACTTTTAATAAGAAAAATAAAATCAAAATTTATGGGTGAGTGTTATATGCCAGATTTAAAAATAAGAAAATGATTAGCTTACAAAAATTAAATTTCTACATGTACCCAAGTGTTTTTATTTAAAAGAAATGACATAACTTATGAACTTAAAAAAATTCATTATGAAAAGTTCATCATATTCATCTTCTGCTGTATCGTCAAGTAAATCATCACATTCTGTTTCATCTTCACCATCACTGTTACTCTTATTTATAAATAAATAATCATCTTCCATTCCATCTAGATTGTCAGATAGTTTTTAAATTACTTTTGATTACATCCACTGCAGACAACGAACTCTGAAAACAGTGTCTCATATGTGCAGGGTAGGAAAAATTCAGTCAAAACCATTTTACTGAAGCCCTACATACGTGAAAGATAAAGTCAAGGTAATATGTCAAGTGGATGAACTATGCAGAGCTTTGATAGGTACAAGTAGGAAATTCTGGTACCGAAGAAATAGTCTTTTGCTAATCTGAGTTCTTTAAGTAGCAGAGATGAATTTAATAAATGACAGTTTTTCTATTGATGAACATTTATTTGCTTTGTTTCCTAGAAATTTGAATGCAATAAGCATGAGTTTATTAATCAATGAGTTTAATAAGTGGCGGGTACTGTATTTAAAAAGAGCAACTTTATAATTTTATTTTATAAAAATTCTGAAGTACTTTTGCATTATCCCACAGACCATGTAAGTTGGCTACCACTGAACTACAACCATTGGCAGACCATTCCACCAAAGTAGCAGCAATTGTTCCTGAAGAATTCTGAAAGAAATGATGCTTCTTTATTTAATAAACAATCAGAATTTTATCTGCTTTGTAAAAAAGCTTTCAAGAAATTTTGCTATTTTGTCAGGCTTTCTGATTTTACCAAAGCTCTATTTAGAACACTATGAATATAAACTTTGTACGGGTAATTGTTCCAATCTATCACTGTTTTGTCGGCCATAATCAGTTGACCACATTGTGTCCATTAATGCACACTTTTTTTGATGGTAGGATCACATAATTTTTAAGATAATACAGTGTTTGTTCTTCTGTAGAAGGCAGGTCCTAAATTTTAATCATTTGTTTCAAGGTGGAAGAAAAACATACAGCAATCACAGTTAATTAATATGTGTATTATAACATCAAAATGTAGCTTATTGAAAATCAATCAGAGATGCATGAAATGAAACTGCAGATTTTACGAGTATATTGCTATGTAATGCTTATCCATATTTGCCTCTAAAGTGCACTACTTGAAGACAGTTTCAAAGCCAACAGGGTAATACACAAGTACTAGTTCTGATTTAAAAGCTCAGTTCATAGTTGAAAGTACCAAAGCCAAAATCTATACTTATTGGACACACTTTTAAAAAAATGCAAGTTATTTTAGAAGATTTGTTATTTTTTAGTAATTTACTAAAAATTAATTTTTGTTATAACTTGTTAATCAAATTTTTTAATAAACAATAAATGCAAAGATTAATGTCATTTCATAAAAGGTTTTCCACAACAAAAATGTTTTATTTATCCATATTATAAAGAATTATTTTTCCAACTACAGTAAATTCTACCATAGATATCAGCTCTGAAATTGTCCTTTATTTTTCTCTATGGTGATAACTCTTTAACTCAATCGCAGTCATAAAATTTGTATTAAGGTTAAGGTGACCACTAAAATGTCTAATTTCATCATCAAACTAAAATATTTTACATATTAAAAAAATTAAAGGGCTATATTTCTAATTCTTATTATAATAGCAAAAGTATTTTTAATTAAAACCTACATTATTTCTGAATAATTAATTTTATTTTTTTAGCGTGGTGTAAATTATCATACAAGCTCCATTCAGCAGATTTAAATGAATAGTTTAAATGTTATACAGCACTCTTTAAAATGAAAAGAATGACACACCAAGTAAAACTGAGGTTTAGGAAAACAAAATCTTCGTTAATCAGTGCTGTTTTTTGTAGGAAAATAATAAACTAATAATAACTTAATAAATTTATCGTACTCCTAAATGTTTATACAGGATGGGGCAGAGCAGTATGCTTATTTTGAAATTTAATAAAAGAAAATGTAATATATATATTTAATTCTTTGAGCAGTATCAAGTACAAGATGTAAAGTGTATGTTCATACTGTTTTAAAGATAATATCAGGCAGACGGCATCCATAATTGTAAACACACTGCGTTAATCAAACTTGGAAGTTTCGTTCAACTATTTCCAGCACATCGACAGGCATGTTGGCTAACATTGCATTTGCCATCCCGGAGCTACAATTTCTTCGAAAAAGGTGGGGGTAGGCACAACCAAGAAACCGAGCCATAAAACTTTAGCCCGTTTGGTTCATTTAGTATCATGGAGTGGTGGAAGGAGGAGCAGGCATTTGCTGTCGAAGCATATGTTTATAACAGTCACTCAATCACTGACATGCAACTTTCATTCCATGCCCATTTCAATATTGTGCCCGGTGGTTGTCTTTCTGGTCAGCAATCGATTGTTTCGTGAGTATACAACTTCAGGGAAACTGGTGATGTGAAGAAGAGGAAACCCAGGCTTCCATGAACAACAAGGTCACCACAAAACATAGACATGGTAAGGTTTTCTGTTTTGTGATTTTCTAAGTGCTTTGCTCGGAAATATGCTGCTGCTGTTGTGTTATCCACTCGATCTATGAGACAAATTCTTCATGAAAAACTGAAATTTCATCCATATAAATTGGTTATAGTGCAGGAACTTAATCCACGTGATTTTATTACTAGAGAAAATTCATGTGAAGCACTTCTTGCAATGCCTGACAACACGCTTGTTTTCTTCAGTGATGAGGCATCGGAATCAGTAAATAAGTAGAACATGTGCTATTGGAGTCCTCATAACTCCAGACAACTTCATCAATGTCCCCTACATGCAGAACATGTAACTGTTTGGTATGCAATATTGCGAGTTCGAATAATTGAACCACGGTTTTTTGACGAAAACAAACAGGTCATTTCAGTGACTTCTGATCATTATGTGCACATGATTGAAGAGGAGTTCTTGCCAAAACTCAACAAGGTGAATGTGGGAGATGTATAATTTTAGCAGGATGGTGCCATGGCACATACAACTCGTGTGTCAATGACTGTTTTGTGCCAACACCCCAGGATGTATCATCATTTTGAGAGGCAATTTGCACAATTTGCTAGAGAAAATTCATGTGAAGCACTTCTCGCAATGCCTGACAACGCTGTTTTTTTCAGTGATGAGGCATCGGAATTAGTAAATAAGTAGAACATGCGCTATTGGAGTCCTCATAACCCCAGAAAACTTCATCCAATTCATAGGTAATTCTTATTTCTCAGTAATCTTTCTCATCACTTTTAAGCATATAGATATAGGCATCCGAAATTCAAAAACATTTAGGAAGAATAATAATCAGTGCACTACTCTAAGAATTTAATAGTATGTATACTTTTCTGAAGGTTATACTACTGATGGTAGAAGTTCAAAATACTACTGCATAATTTCAGATTAAGCTACATAAAAACTTTTATAAAAATTGAGAAAGGAATGATTTAATAAATGATAAAATAATTAGTATTTGAATTCAAATGTCAATTTAAGTTTTATACTTGTGCTTCTGATAACATATTTATTATCCAATTCCAATTCTTATCATAAAATATTTATCAAATGCTGTAAAAATTACAAATGCCTTTGAAACATGACTATTTTTAAAATTTATAAATAAAAGTAAAGCTCTTACATGTTCTAAAGTTTTCCAAGAACCAACTTCAGTATCACCAGTAGTACATGTGGAATCATTACCTGAAAAATATAAATGCCTTTTTTAAATGTAGAATGTATTTTGAAATTCTTCGGCGAAGGGGTAAACTACAAAATTAAATTTTCCTTAAAACTGTCTACAGGGTTCGTACTCATTTTTGCACACAGAAATTCTAAGGACTTCTAAGGACCATTAACAAAAAAAAAAAAAAAAAAAAAAAAAAAAAAAAGAGGACCTATTGGCAAATGGAAGCTGAATAAATTCAGTTAAAGCTATTATCTATGCCTGAAATTTACTTTTGTAATACCATCCTAAGAATAAAATAGATCCATAAGTAGGATGCATTATTATTAAACAGAATTATAAAACACAATTGAAAATAAAATCAACTTTAAATCAAATGTATCAAGTAGTATTGAATATTTTACACTTACAATATTTGGACATATTTGAAAGAAGATTAAGTGACATTTAATTTATGTTTTACTAACAGTTAGCTTCATACTGATTTTTTTCTTTTGTCTCATTTTGTCACATACTTTCTCAGCCTAGAGGTTTAGTAAATAGTAGGTAGATTTTATGTCAAATGGCATAAGTTAAAGTAAGAAAATCATAATCAGCATTATTCGTAACAGAAGATTGGCTGTTGCCACTGCTGCTTCTTTCTTACACAAAGACCTGCTGATCAGAACAAACCTGAAAGCCTGATGTATGTACGGTTTGCAAGGTTTAAAAGTTAGTTGTGTTCTCTATATCTGATGCAGATAGTGCCATAGCTTCGTATAGAGCTTCTGGGGTTGTAATCCAGTTAATATAGTTTAAGGTACCAATAAGCCACTAAAGCACCAGAGGCGACGAGTTGTTTTGCATTATTTTAAATCTCACTAGATGCAAAGAATAAGTTTTAGAGATATATATATATATACATATTTTTTTTTTCATTTTTCGTGCTGTATCTTCATAATCACGTTAAGGCTTAATGAAAGGCAATAAATTGCTTTAATATGCAGAGATAATTTTAAGGTTGAGCAGTTAGTTACAAATAATTAAATTAGGTAGTTAGATACTCTTAAGTTATTATACGATACTCTTAAGTTATTATACTTAAGAGTAAAAACTTTTAGTTGGCCACTAAAAGTTTTATTTATGTTTTTAAAATGTTTGTTAAAAAAGCACCATTAAAATCCCAATCTAATAACATTTCACATTTTAAAATACAGTAATTTGTGACAGTGATTCATAAACAATATTAGGATAATTACATATTAAAATCTTCAAAATATTTGTGTTTTGTAACAACACACAACAAAAACATTTTTGAGTCTTTTTAATTTGAAGCCTTCACAAACATTTTAGCTAATATATATCAATTTCCCTTTTTTTAAGCATATTTTCTAAAAATTAGAAATTGGTTTCAGTACACAAAACAATTTTCTCCCTAATTTCTGCATGCTTTATCTCCTAACTTGTCAGTCTCTCAACAATGTACCTATGAGGTTTTGCATGATCTGGTGAAAGTTAAATACTCCAAACCCCTGACAGACACAAAGCAAATTATCACTATGTTTGAAAGTAACTACAAAGTCAAATACAGGTTTAAATAAATCTCTTATTTAAAAAAAAAAAAAAAAAAAAAAAAAAAAAAAAAAAAAAAAAAACCTTAAACCATAAAGGCACGTTCTTATGCTAACAAAATAAACTTATACTAACAAATTCAAATGCAACGATAACGCAAAGAGGAATAATTGCAAATTATCAAAGCTGGCAGGAACTAATGCAGCGTGCATGCACGCCAAAGCCAGAAACACTGCCTGAAATTATAAAGAACTGGTTAATTTATGTAATAATAACTGTACATATCTTTGAAGAATTATTATCTCTTTTCTTTTTCTTTCTTCAATACATTTCCATTTCATTTTAGAATTTTTGGATTTAATTAAAGATATCTGTTATTCTAAAAACTAAATGCACAGAAAAATAATATGAACATTCAAAATAAATATAAATGATACATGGTAACGCCCAGTTACGGAGCCAATGTGGCCGGATTTTTAGAATTTACTGACCCACCAAGCAAAAAATCTAGAAATAGCAAAACTTTTAGAATTTAGGACAGGCACTGGCAGAAAAAAATAGGAACGCACTAAGTACCAGAACTTAGTATCCACAGAGATTGCATCAGGTGGGAAAATGCCTAGCACCAGCCCTGCGTATGATGAGTTGAGACATACAAGATGAATCTTTTAAATTGTCAGTTTTCAATTTCTTTATACATGGAAAAATTCTTGTCTGTCCACGTGATAAGATTACAAGCATTTTTGATATTTTCCACGCACCATTCCAGTGAAAAGTAGAGAAAATAGAGGAAAAAAAAAAAAAAAAGATGTTAAAAAGACTTCTAGTGTCAGAAGTATAACATTCAAATACTATGTTTCCATTGTTCTTCCAAAAATTCTCCAAAAAGTAAGAAATTCACCATAAACTTTCCGTAAAATACACCCATTACGTGTTAATACCATGAAGACACTTTTCTGGCATATTCTAGAACCTTGGGTTTATAAATCTTGTCTTCAAATGCTTCTAAACTTTCCAAGTTGCAATGCCTAAAATCCTAAAGAAAAATTATCCCTAACAATCCTATAACAATGAAATGCCAGAAATATTTTGAAGGGAAAGAATAAAAGAGAAAAATGTGTTAAAATCATTTTATACAGAAAAATGATGCAAATTCTGAGAAAACTGCATGGGAAAAACTTTAACCATGAAAAAATTAAAAAGAAGATATTTTTTATTAATTACATAGCTATTTTGCTTTTGCTAAGAATTATTTCATAAATTTTGCTTTATTACCTTATTTTTCAGATTCAAAATATTGCATAATAAATCGCCAAAACAGAAGGTAATATCACTGTATAATATTGCATTGAAAAATAAAAATGTTTCATTTTAATGCTATTTCTCAAATATGATATACACTGGTGTGCAAAAATTAAGGACGAAGTCGAAAATTAGCATATCAGCTGAACGAAGAGGCAGAGCGGACAGAAAGACCAATCAGGAGATTACGTAAGGTGATGTACGGTAGCACATGTGCAGATATGCAGGTAGGCGTAATGGGGGAGTGTCTGAGTAGTATAAAGCATGTTGTTGGTGTAAGATCAGTATTTCTGGCAAAGAGATTGCACGCCGTATAGCAGTTAAAATCACACCGAGTTGCCGCCTCAGCGAAAAATGGCGAATAATCAATCTGTTAGACGACATCTGGATGCTTTTACCCGAGGTCGAATCATTGGGAAGTTGGAAGAAGGCCGCAGTGTGACAAGTGTGGCTGCAGAGTTCGGAATTGCTCACAGCATCGTTTCACGACTTTGAAGACAATTTCAAACTACAGGAACAGCTATCCGGGGGTTTAGTAGTGGTCGTCCACGAGGAACCACACCCGCAGATAACCGGTATATTGCCTTACAGGCCAGAAGAAACAGGCGGCAGACAGCGGAAGAAATCGCTAGACACACGACACAGGCGACCGATATCGCGTTTTACCATGGCCAGAAGACTGCACGGTGGTGGTCTGTTTGCACGACGCCCTGTACGGTGTGTACCTCTAAAGCCTGCCCGTCGGAGAAGGTGTTCTCTGTGGTGCCGGGAACACCGGAATTGGAGAGACAATGAATGGGGACGAGTACTCTTTACAGATGAGAGCAGATTCAGTCTGGTAGCGATTCTCATCGCATATTCTTCTTCCATATGTGTGTCTTTTTAGAGGCGCTATGGGCCCGCAGTTCCTTTTCATGGATGACAATGCAACATGTCATCGCACAGTAGCTGCCGAACAGCTCTTAGAGAGTGAGGATATTGAACGTATGGATTGGCTGGCACGATCTCCGGATTTCAATCCCATCGAGCATGTATGGGATTTTCTAGGCAGACGCTTGGCACCTCGTACCTTACCACCAGTAACGATTCCGGAACTTCGATTGGCGCTGCAAGACGAATGGGCAGCAATGCTTCAACAACTCATTGACACCCTCATTCTCAGCATGGGCAGACGCTGTGAAACCTGCCTAGCAGTCAGGGGAGATCATATCCCCTATTAAAGACCGAATGTTTCTTGCTGGACACCCATCACAGGGATGTTTCGGCCTTCAGTCGCATTGCGCTCCATGCTACTTTTCAATAAAGCTTTCTTTTTATCCCTCTGATTCTCTTTTAGTAAGTGTTGTTTACATTACTCATGTCCTTATGTATTGGGGATCTTACGGTATTAAATGTGTTGATTTGGAAAGCTTTTGTACAAAGTTATATTGAAAAAACCGTCTCGTCCTTAATTTTTGCACACCACTGTATATTATCAATACATTATCATTTTAATGATTTTCAACGCTAAAATGTTTTCAATGCTAAAATCGTTGAAAATTTCCCAGACCTCCCCCCCCCAAAAAAAGTTTCCTATAGAAACTGATCTTAAAATCGCCAAAATGCTGGTATAGAACCGTTTAATAAAAGAATTCACATCACCAAAAGTGAAACGTTGTGAAAAGAGCTCTTCATTAGAAAAAATTAAATAAATTCGAAATGCTTATGTTTCACTTTTTGCCCAGAATCTTGAGTATCAAAATGTTTGTATTAGAAATACGAACAAATTATAACCTATTCCACCCATTTAAAAAGATAACCATATTTATCAGTGAATCACTAAAAATATTCCTCCAAAATGCTAATTCACACTCAAAATGAGTCATAAAAACAGGCAGAAATTTCAGATGATTAAAATTATGGACCTTCTTCCGATTTTGGCGCAATTAAGGACTTTTAAGGTCCAAAATTCGATTCCAAAAAACCTAAGGACTTTTAAGGACCATATGAACCCTGTGTCTATATTATTTTTAATTAAATTAATCACACAGATCATCAAGATAATTATTTTACAAAAAAAAAAAAAAAAAAAAAAAAAAAAAAAAAAAAAAAAAAAAAGTTAATTATAGCTCACTTGTAACAAAAACAGATGGTGGTCTTAGCTCTATCTCAACAGTTTCTCCAAGAATGTCACATTCTTGTGGCTTTATGTATCTTACATGAAATGGAACATCCACATTATGAGAGCCATTCTTTGAGCATGAATAAAGTTCTATATACAAAGGTTGAGCATTATAAGCTGGGGTTTCAGTATTAATAAACTGAATCTGAGGAATCTATATATATAAAAAAATTTTTTTTGTTATGCTATATAAAATCTTCTGATACATTAAATTATATATAATAATTTCATAAAGGTTGCACAATGCATAATAACATAGTTTTGATCTTGCTATCAACAAAACATAGGTATAATTGACTATTAAAAAAAAGATTTGACTACAAACTGAGACTATTGCATTATCTGCCCAACACCCCCACAAAGTCTAATTTTTTGCCAGTTTAATAAATGAAACACAGCAGCCACTTTAAAAAATGACAAAGATCTGAATGAATGTTATACAAAATAATAACAAATTAAAATTTAAAAAAAGCAAAAACATCTATAATGAAGCACTGAAAATTACATAAAACAACATCCATAACGAAACGCCAAAAACTACACAAAACAGTCACAAATTAACTAAGTTAAACATGCATAATAACGCACTTAACTTTCTCTCCCCCCCAATCTTTTTTTAAGCTAAACCATAGTGTACAACACTATGGTTTAGCTTAAAAAAATCAGAGAACTGTAGAATTCTCAGCATGCACAGCAACTTGATATAGCTCTCCATGTACACAACCTATTTTAAATTTAAAAAAAAAAAAAAAAAGAGAGAAAGTGAGAATTACACTTATTCGTAGAAAACCATTATCCCAATCATCTAAGAACAGTTCATAAACTACTTTCTAACTACAAGATTTCAATAATAATGTAACATTGGAGATAAATAAAAGCTGGCCAAATGCATCACTTTATATGTATTTTATTACTTAAATAATAATAATGAAAAGTGGCTAGTGCATCGCACAGCTGCACCACAGGTCCGGGGTCTTATCCCCAGGCTGGGCAAGGTTGAGTCAGCCTTTCATCCCTTGAATGGGTCAATACAATGAGTACTAAGTTCGCTTGGAAACTAACACCGGGGGTACTGCAACAATCTGACCACTTGTCCAGGGCATATGCTGATGCACTTTGGGGCCCAAGGTCAAGAAAATAAATTTCAGGTTACTGCAGGCTGTGGCTCATTAGGGCTGTTGGCCACTGAGTTTAGTTTTATTAATAATGAAAATCAATCTGGACTTTATACATCCAATGGATACTGTTCAGGTATGTGCTTTAAAATCTATTTAAAACAGTCTTTTTGCTTTTCCTCCTAACCTTTTCCCAAAGATAACCTAAACAATCCGATCGCTTGTAAAATAAAACTTTATGGGATAGCGCACTTTCTACCACTGAGCAAAATGCAATATTTCTTTAAGAATACAACCCTTTCCCTTTGTTAGCAACTCCACAGTTGCATTTAACAGGGGGAACAAAAATTCATATGCTAATCACAAGCATAAGCCTTGAATTCCAAAACTGCATGCATTTATGGGTTGCCAGATAAAATACATTTTCATAAAATTCTGGGTTCTCTACATCAGTGGCATAGTGCTTCACTTGATAACTCTTGCCATGGTTAATGTGGATAATTTGATTTACCCATTTTTAAGTCATAATTTAAATAATAAAAATTTGTAACATAATAATTGTAATCACCATTATTAGATATTTTTAAGTCAAATTAATGAAATATTAATTCTATATAATACAAGGTGAATCCAGAAAATATTTATTTGGTAATTAAAAAAATATTATAAATAAGCCAATCAACACATTTTTATTTTTGAAGCATGTAACTTCTTGCACATTATGTCAAGTTAAGAGTTGTATTGCAATGACTGCACATTTATTTGCATTGGTAATAGAAGTGAACAGAAAATTAGAACCCTTTCAAATGCAAAATGAGAACTGTCAATCAACTTTTGCACAGTAAAAACACTTGACCATGCGAAATTCACCATTAAAGTCACACAACATTTTAGGTGTATCAGCAATGAAAAACTGAAAGTTTTTCTATATATGTCATTACATGTTATGCATGATACAGTTATTCATCATCTCAACTGTCTCCCATCAAACCACTATATTCTGAGACAGACACAGTTTACTCTTTATTAAGCTCATGTTCCATGGTTAAACAAGCAATGAAAAAGGCAAAAGCATACTGTGAGGCACTGAACAGCCTAAGGACAATTATTGAAAATTACAGGAAAGACCTCTCGTGTAACATGACCATTTTTTACGATGATGCTTGGCACTTTTTGCTGCATTTATTATCACTGCTTCAGAAGTTTAATAAGGGAAGTTTGGGAAAATCAACAAATAGTCTCAATCTTACCTCCATCAACTATTGTCTTTTTATTAAATTAATATATTTTGGGATAGAATTGTTTTGTTGATGCATGGTTTGGTTTATTTGAACATCGAAAAGCACACACAGCCGCCCAACCCATATAGGATATAGCATCGTTGACTGCCGTGCCGAAAAGGCCCAGTTTCGAATCCCGGAGAAGGCATGGATATTTGTAAATGTATAGTATCGCTGCGGCATAGAAGACCCTCTGACCCATCTCCCCGGGGTGCTCTCCATCAAAATTGGGGGCAGAACTAAGCCAAATTTACACTGTCACCTGTTAAATACTCAAGGCTGTTGCCAACAACAGGCACAATCTTGCACTCCTTGCCACAAGAAATAACAGCTTGAGCTGAATACGTCAAACCAGTGAGCATAAGCAACAACAACAAAGCACACACAGCTATCTGTCTAAGGTAAGGGATACCTCTGTGGAGGACTTTGTATGGGAACTGGCTCATAACAACATTACCCAAGGGAAAACACCACAAAAACAGCCAAGCAAGCCAACCTGTTTGCCTGGAATTGAGCTCAGGTCGAACTAAGAGCTTTAGACCACTTGGCCATTATGGGCCCTTTGCAAACATATGTTTCAGAAAATAGTAATTGCATGTCTGAATAGACTGGCAGCAAAAGTGTATGACAAAAAAAAAAAAAAAAAAAAAAAAAAAAACTCTGTATGATAAATGCTGCAATGTTGTAGGTACCTATCCGCTTGCGTAAAATAAAGCTCAAGTTATGCATTTTTCACACTAAAAATATGTCCTTAAACTAACTGCTTCTTTCTTTTATTACCATGCACTGCCCTCTGTTGTGTATGGAATTAATTTATCCAGCTGGCAGTTAGAAGTTATATGCTTTAAATCGTGGTAAAAAGTAGTAGGCTATTGATATTTTTCTCAACAATTAGCTAGTAGTCTCTCTAGTGTGATGCTTGAACTCAAATACAGTGAGAATAACTTTCACCAGCTACATTTGTTTGACTAGGCCTAAGTAAAAGAGAATGTAAGAAATTATTGTATTCACCCATACAAGCTTTTACAGTGTAAATTATTAGTACATCCAACTAACTTTTTGGATATGTTACACATAAAAAAATTCTTAAGATGACTTATTAATAATCATATCTTAAAAGGCATATATTGCAATTAAAGTAATATAAAACAATAATATAAAACTTATTTTTGCTTACACATTGTTAAAAGGGTTAATTACCTTTTAACAATGTGCATATCCTAGCATATCATGATTATTTTTATTACATACAAAAATCATCTAGTCATTATTTAAATAAGAGTGCATTTAAAACATAGTAGATTCTCTCATAGTAACCACTTCTGAATGTGATTAATATTTCTACATAAAAAGACAAACATAAGTACTGAATAATACCTCTCTGAAATGAAAATCTTTAAAGAACACAAAGATCTTTTTGATGTTGTATGTGAACATTTTACAAAGACTTCAAGGTATTTCAACTGAAAACTTTAAATTTACTATTTATGAATTAAAGCTATATCCAAGTTATTTAATTAAAAGCTAGTGACTTTATGAAAATTTCTAAAGCATAAAGAATATAAATTCTCAACAAATATGCCCTAACTTTAATTGAAAACACTGAAAATTAGAAAAATTTTACAATTTAATGTATTCCTTTTTATGGCATAGTTGAAAGCTGTAAAAATAGCATTCACATCTGCATAGTCCCCATTTTTCAATGATCCATTCTTTCAATCTCCATTTAAAATCAAAACTCACAACTCGGTGAATAATCTGCCCTTAGAATCTATTTCACTATTTTGTAAATTAAAAGGTTTTGTTTAATTTGTCATATTTCTTTCTTTGTGGGCAAATAAATTATATTACTTTACATTTATATACATTCGCATATGATTTACAGGATAATGCAGTACAAAGTCTGAGATCCGAATCGTTGGGACTTTGATGATTCCAAAAAATTCTGACTTCAAATCATCAGTTAAAATCTACTAAAATGACATGTTGACATGGCAAAATCAGATCAGACAAAAAAATACTAATGCTAACAACCACTCACCTAGTACCTAGCTCGTCATTAAAGCATTTTTTTCAAACGGGGGAGAATGGGGATAAGGAAGAAGAATTAGCTGCACTAGAAGGTACTTTTGCATACCATACTATCTGCCACAACCACAAGTTTACGTCTATAGATTGTACATCCAAGCTGCTTCAAGTGGCATTTGAGCCTAAATTTACATGTGCTCAAGGCCGAAGCAACAATATTAAATGTTTTTATGCCTTATTCTATAGGAGCTTTGCACAGTGATTTGAAAAAAAAAAAAAAAAAGTTTATTTGTTTTAATCTTAACTGATGCATCGAATTACACAAAAATCAAACATTTTCCAATTTTCCAATACTTGTTAAATTTACAGATTGGAGCTATGGAATAAGAGCAAAAATTTAAGAATTTAAATCTTTACCTGGTGAAACATCCGATATTGTCAGCAACTATTTAACACCTGTCTTGAAGAAAATAATTTAAAAGAAAAGTTATTGGTCTTTGTGATGATAATAAGAAATTCTAAATTTGGAGAAACTGATAGACATGGAGAAAGTAATGTTTTTGTTAAAACTGAAATGAAACCTTAGGCATGGTTTAATTGGAGTCGGATGTTTAGAGCATATTATCCATAATATTAGAAGAACATCAGCTGATATTTTGCCAACTAATATATAGAAATGATTATTTCTAAGGTATAGTTTAAATCCTATAATGTTAGAGTAGAAACAATGAAAAATTTCTGCAACTACTTAGAAATCCATTTTTCAGTGATACTAGGATATTCACGAACAAGAGGGTTAGCATTAGACTTCCCACCATTGAAAGAGTACTCAAAATGTTTTTTACTGCTGAAGTCTTATTTTCATCCTAAGTTATTCCAATAAACATTAAAAAAAAACTTAGAACTCTTGAAAAACTTGAAGAGAATAGAGTTAAAACAGTTAAAACAGCCCTTTTTTTCAATTAATAAAATAATATCAAATCATAAAATATTGGAAATAAATATATATGACGAATATGTTTATCTTAAACAATATATCACAGAAGAAAAAATATTGGCCAGATAAATAAAAAAATAAGGTATGCCCATTTCAGTGGATGGAAATCATTGCATATTTTAACAAAAACCAGGTTCCTTGTTCAAATGTTTCAAAAACTGCAGAGTTTTCCTTTTGGCTTTTTGGCACTAATGCTGCAACTGAGTGAGTATTTAGCATTATGAATAGTTTTTGGACTAATGATAAGCTTTGAAGTACACTCTTTGAAGAACATGTTAATCACCAAAATATATTTTGATGAAAATTGCATGGATTTTTAAAAGATTAAAAAAATATATTTTAAGAAATAAAAGGCTGCTTCATCAAAATAATTTAGAAAGGTTACAAATTTATTATTTTGTTTGATGATGATACTATGTTTTGATTCATTCTTTATTTATTGAAAAATATTATACATCATTATTAAAAAATAAAACAAAAATTATTTATTTTTTTATACATATATAGATGTGTGTATTATATATACATAAAGTACAAAAAGAAACATAGTAATAAACCAGTAGGAATGGGTATTTTTCTACTTATTTTAATTTTATTTATATATTTATTGGAATGATGGTCCCAAGGTCTGGATATTAGATGATTCCGGATATAATGTATGTCCAAATTTCGGACTTTATACTGTATATTTGTTTCTTGAAGATGAGATTAATACTCCGGCTCCTAATCAGTCAAATAAATTTGGGATACCTTTATAGAGATCCAAGTAACTTACACTGATGCATTACTTTTTTCTTCATACTGCCACAGCACTTGAATATTATAAAATGGGATATTAATGAAAATTAAGTGTAAGGTGCAAAGGAATTATCTAACTTGCACATATTCACTCTTAGAAATATTAGATACTTCTGACAGAGATATAGTACATATTCATTATTAATATGAGTTTGGCAAATAAAAAAACTGACAAATTTTAGAAGCACCAAATATTTTATTACAGCTTAGAATTTGAAAAATTTACTTCAAAAAAAAATCTTGCTTGAGCATGCTTTGATAATCGCCCTAGATTAACTGAAAAATTCAAGATAATGCTGCTTTTACATTCATACACAACAAAGTTAAAGAAATAATTAATAATACTTTTTCATCTTAATAAAAAAAAGCAATACCCAAAATAAAAATTAAATAAAACAGTTTACTAGCATTATACAGTATGTACTTGGACAACAGAATAATTTTTTAGGCTCTACTCTTATATGCGCCCTAATTTCACCAAATATGGAGATATGTGTTCTGTGCTGGTTTTTGGTGCGATTGCGTGTTGTATGGCAACCCTGTTGACATTGAAAAATCTTTTGCTGGAGTGGTTTAATTGCTCATTGGTTCATGCCGTGCGTGTTTTGAAATGGCCTGTGTTCCAATGATAGACATGGTGGCAAGATTTCAGTTGTGTATTTTAGATTGTGTGGAAAGTAAATTTAGTATTAAAAGGTACGATGTTGGAGTTGTTAACGAGTTTTTCGTTCACGGGCATCTTTATGAGGATTGAAGTGTATTTTGGAATTTCTGCGGGACTTTTAAAATGAAGTCTGAAATGCGGAGCTGCTATGAGAAATCGGATGAAGAAGATCGTGATAGTTTTTGTGTGGACTTGCAGTCAAATGGTTGCTGGTAAAGCATGCGGCTGTCAGCAGAGTTTAAGATTTGGATTGTGGTTTTGGTGTAGTAAGTTAACTTTGGAGGAAATTTTATCATTACTTTCGAAATTTTGAATCTCAGAAAGACATGTGATATAGCAAAATCGTGGCAGTTCAGAGATGTTGTGTGACTGGCGAAATTTAATTCAGGAATGCATGATGGCAAGTGCATTTTATTTTACTGTTTTTATTTTGTAGAATGTTATGTTCACTGTTTTTTTACTATGAATTTTTGTTGTTATTGTTGTTTTCTGAATTGTTTGTAATTTAGTTTAGTTTATTTGGTTGATTTGTGTGAAATGCCTAGATTGTGCAATTTGCAGATGATTTTTTTAAAGTTTAAACAGAATGCTGTGTACATGGTATTCTTTGAAATTTATTATTGTTATGTTAATTTATTGAAGCGAGGTGTGCATAATTCATAGATTCCTTCGCTACCTAGAATGTGCAATTTGTAGATGTTTTCTGAAGTTAAAACATATCATTGTGTACATGGATTCTTGTCAAATATTTTTGGTTAGAAACTTTACGTTTTTGCAATCTAAATTTTTTGTTTTGGAATTTTAGCTTAAATTGTGTCTTCAAAATGCGGTTTTTGCATCTGCGAAAACCGCATTTTTGGACACATTTTAGGCTTAAAATTCGAAATGTAGACAAAAAATTTAAGTAGTAATATGGCAGCGTAGAGTTTCTTGCCAAAAACCTGAGGGCGCATATAAGAGTAGTTCCACCTTTTATTACATCGATTTTCATGTTGTGTGTTTAAAATGCACTGCAAATGCAAAGTGTGCAACTATAGAATATTCTTGTTACTGAAATGGAAATCCATTTATTCACAGCACTGAATGTTTATGAAGCTTTCAGAGCAATTTCACTTTTTAATTAAATTAAAAGACACTTTTTTTTTTTAGCCAGTATTATGATTTACTAGAAAGTTATAACAATATTTTATGTTTAAAATAATTAATTCTTAATATCAAATGGATAACAGCATAGAAAATTACCTTTATTTCAAGATTACTTATTGTTCTTGGAATCTGATAAGGATCTAAATATATTTCTTTAGGAAAATTTTCCTTTATTAAGAGCTTTGTTTTGCCTATTACCCCATGGATATTTATGCTGTATGATAAAATCCTATAACAAAACAAATATCTAATTATCATAAATTCATTAACTTAAGCAGTTCTATTACAAACTGTATTTTTTTTACTGTATTTTAGTAATGATTAAAAAAATAATAAATTTGAAATATAAATAAAATTAATTATGTGCTAGCATTATACAATACGCACAGAATAACTACCCATGGGACTAATAAAATTAGTCACTTGGGTTTTTTAATCACAATCATCATGATAACCGCAATAAACTTCAGTTGTTTAATTTTCTTTTTACATGGAGAGGCACTTACAAATAGGTATCACTAGGAATTAAGGACAATTTATCAGTCATTCAATCATCTCATAACTGAAAACGTTATTCAGGATACACCGCAGCAGGGACTTATAGTGTGAACTTCGAGAAATAAGGCTGTCCATCTCTCTCGTGACGTCACGACAAGGAGTACAAGGAAATCTCTCTCCGGCATTCGAAGCAAGTGAACCCACAGTGCACTATTTTATCAGTAAAAGCTAATTTTATGTTACTCTGATGTAAATTAAATAGGAGATTATTAAATAAATGATACTATCTTAACATTTATTATATATCATGCTTTAAGACTTCAGATATCTGAGCTTATTTTTCATAATGCTTGATAAAAATTTTCACTTGGATGATCAATAATTATTTATATTAGTCTCATTTTATTTTCCATAGTTTGGATACACTTTCCAACACTTCATAACGCGAAAATGTTAAGCTTTCGAACTGCAAATGAAACATTGCATATTATTTTTCATTCATATATAAACGTAAAAAATATGAATAAAAAGAACATTTTAAAAGAACCAACTTTTTTAAATAATATATAATTTTTTTCAGTATGGCGATAAAATGAAAGAACTAGCATTTTCGGTTATTACATTTATTTTTTAAACAAATTTAAGTGTAAAAGATCTTTCATAATAAACTAAATATTAAAAAGGAATACAGTCAAAAGTCGTTAATCCGGACTCGTCGGGACTTCGTCGATTCCGGATTATAGATCATCAGTTTAAATCTCGTAAGATAGCATGCAGAAATTCTAAAATTAAAAATATGAAACCGTAATTTATGAAATAAAGAACAATTATGATCTAAAGGGTACTAAAATTTCCAAAAAGAAAAAGCTTAATATTTATTTGTTTACTTTATTAAACATTTCTTTCAATGTAAGTTGTTTAAGTTTTGCTTCGTTTCATGTGATAATACTTTCTCTTTAATTCTATTAAACAGACATAATTTCTTGTTCAGTTACAAAGCTCCGCTGTTCAAGTCCTATAATTGCTGTGTCGAGAACACCGACTAATTTGTCAATCAAAATTTTTTCGTTTTCAATAACCTCTGTCACTTTCTTCGCTATCGGAAGCGACTTATAATGACGAGGAACTTGTTTTAAATCATATCAAAGACGGAGTGCATATCGAGATGAAATACTACATTTGGTAAAGAATTATTAACCTAAATAAAATAAAAACATCTGCGCTGAAGATAAGGATAGTGCTGACAGATCAACTTCCAAATTCATTACATTACACGCCCGCCGCGGCGTTCCCCCCGCCGAGCAGCGTGAAATTGATAAACAGATTTTGGATTTCAAAACATACTTTCGCTTTAGATCCTTTACATATTAGCAAATATATATCGGAAATTCTGTTTGATATAATCGAAAGTTTAAGCTTACTTTTATAAAATTGCTCTTACAGTCTGCAAAAAATAATAAGCCGGATCCAATTCGAAAATTAAGGAACAACGCAATCATCAACATTAACTGAAATAGATAATTAGATAATTTTAGCTTATACATCCATTATACATAAAACGCGCACGCGAAAACGTATTCTGCACTTGCGCACACTCATATGTGCAGTCGTAAAAGGTCTTACGCGCACGCGTAAACGCCTATGCGCATGTGTCAACGCGGCGCATGCGCAGAAAGTTTTTAGTTTTGAGGTCCGGATTATAGATCATTCCGAATTATGGGTGTCCGAATTAACGACTTTTTACTGTATTTCATCATTTATTTATCAATATAAATACATTAAAATTTATTTTTTAATGTCAACATTGTTTTAAACTGTCAAATGGTGAATTGTTATTACTAAAATAATTATTAAACTTGCAGTAATCCAGATTCTTACAGAATAAAAACCAAAGATCTATTTTTAAACTATTACAGAAAATCATTTTACTTTAATTTTGTCGACTGTCTTTATGAAATCTTGATATGTCCACATTAGAGTTTATGATCATAATACAGTACAAAGTCTTTAATTCGGACTCGTCGGGACTTCAGCGATTCCGGATTAGGGGTTTTTCCGGAGTATAGATCATCAATTTATATCTGGTAAGATGGCATGCAGAAATTATAAAATTAAAAATATGAAACCATAATTTATGAAATAAAGAGCAATTATGATCTAAAGGGTATCAAAGTTTACAAAAAAATAGCTTAATATTTATTTGTTTACTTTATTAAACCTTTCTTTCAATGTAAGTTGTTTAAGTTGCTTCGTTTTTTGTGCTAATACTTTCTCTTTAATTCTATAAACAAACATAATTTCTTAATCAGTTCCACTGTTCAATTCCTGTAATTGCTGTGTCGAGAATACCGACTAACTTGTCAATCGAAATTTTTTCATTTTCAATAACCTCTCTGTCCCATTCTTCACTATCGGAAACGGCACATCGAAACATGCTTTCGCTTTGTAGATCCTTTGGCAGCTCCAGAATCAGAAACTCTTTTTGACATAATCGAAAGTTCAAGCTTACTTTTTATAAAATTGCTCAAACAGTCTGAAAAAATAATAGCTGGATCCAATTAGAAGATTAAGGAACAATGCAATCTGCAACATTAACTGAAAGAGATAATTAGATAATTTTAGCCTAGCTTATACCATCCGTTATACATTAAACGCACATGCATAAACATATTATGTGCCTGCGTAAAAGCGCATGCACAGAAAGTTTGTAGCTTTGAGGTCCGGATTATAGATCATTCTGGATTATGGACGTCTGGATTAAAGACTTTTTACTGTAGTTAATTTCGTAGCTCTCTAGATCGAAAGTTGTGCCTGTAACTATGTGTGAGTTTTGATTCTTTGGATTACTTATGTGTTGAAAGGAACACGCTGTAGAATTATGTTTTAAATTTTAAAATATGCAAGGTAGATAGCTGAGGTTCCCACATCTCATTACTGAAGTGCATGCGGTAGAGCCTATATTATAACAGGAAAGTGCAATGATAGTATAGGATACCAGACGTCCCTTGCAAAAGCACTTCATTCTCCCAGTATATTTAATCTTTTTTAATTGTTTATTCTGCTGTATCCATTTAAAACATCATATACTCTATAGCTTTTCAAAAATTTATCATTTTACTAATGTATGAAGTTTAATTTAAAAAACGTAACAGAAAAATTTTAGGGAAAAAAAATTCTAAGCTTTTTAAGCGACTGGTGTAAAAATATTGTTTTCAAGTTTTGTTTATATATATTTAAAAATATAATATTAATTACAACTTTCACAATAATTTTGAAAATATGACCAAAAAAAAGTTTAAAAAAAAGGTAATGCGAAAAACATAAATTTGAATTTTTAAATGAAAAACATTATTACTTTTAAATCTTTAAAACGATAATGACAAGTACATTAAATATAAAACTGAATTAAATTAGATATTACAAATCATTTAATGCTATATGATTAATATATAATCATAATGCACAGCATTTCAGCAATACATGAAACAAAATTTACTACACATTAAATAATCCTGTAGTGTTATGACTTAATTAATTTATTGTTTACTTTTACATTTTACACTAGTTATAGTTTACTTTTTAAATATTTTACACTAGTTTTTCAGTGGAAATCATTTTGGCTTTAAAAACAAACATATTAAACATATAGAAAACTTAATCTAGTTTTCTTTAAATATCAATAAAATCATAGTAATGAAACCTCACCCTGTTGTTTTTAGTCGGAATGAAGTCCTTCCGTTTTATCGCACGTATTCATTTTCACATCTGCATCAACAGGAAAAGCGAAAATATGTATTGTAATTTCAGTTACATTGCGATACTGAACACATGTAAGACATTATATTGTTTCTGGGACAACCCCCAAATTGCAAAAAAACTCAAATTTAAAGAGTCCGACTATGAAAAAAGCACGGTATGTACCAAGATTTTAGGTAAATAATAGCAGTTCAACCAGTTCTCTCATAGCAATGGCGACGAACAATAACCTTTGACCCAAAGCTGCCCTCAAACCCAAAGAGGGGTGCACTCTCTGTACTGACGTAACACGCTCTATGTCATTGAGCTATATGGCCTTGTTCTCGAAGGCCACGCTGATAGTGCACCATAAAGCCTTGTGGTACAAGGTGGCCATGAAATTATGTACCACACAAAATACCTCATATTCACACCAATTCCATCTTTTAGTGTAATATTTATTATTTGTAAAAATAATTCTAATACCCAAGAACAACCATTTACCTAAAAGAGTTTTCTTGTCTTATTTATTTATTGAAGAATTTTAAAACTGAAAGTATTTGAAATTACACTATAAACTTTAGAACTGATCTTGGTACTCTTCTGTTATTGGGATCAGATTCAGAAATCTATGCATATAAGCATATGTGTGTATACACATACATATATATGCACATGAACACAAACATACATTTCTCAATTCTATCCTGATAACAGAAGATTATCCTGAGCTATCATGTTTGAAACTAGATAATTTAATATTCTTTTCAGGTTTGGTAAAATTAAGCTTGCTGTTTATTAACTAGTACATACTTTTAAATTTTATGCTATGATTTAAATAATATAAAACCTAAGCTAAGACACGCTTATAAGAGTAATATCTTTATCTGTTTGTACAAAATAATTTCTGCATTTCATTTTAGTTTAGTAAAAATAAAAACAAAATTATGCATTTAGTTTTATAGTCTATGTAAATAAAAAAGAATTTTATTGTTTTCTATTGGCATAGAAACAGCTAAGTACTTAAGATTAAAAACTTTGCTTAATTTGATACATTTTCCACTATGCACCTGCCATGCATTTTGGTGCCTGTGAAAGAGATACCAAATACACCCCAAAACCCAACAACTGCAACTAGAAATATGCTGCCATCTAGAACCGTTCTTGTAAGTACTAATATTTTATAATTAAAAAAAAAAAAAAAAAAAAAAAAAAAAAAAACCCTGATATTTGGGCTCTTTTTTACAGCTGTTTCAAAGTGTGATGGGTGCATAACCAAAAAGTAACCTTAACCCTTTATCTAGCCTAATGGCAGCAATGTATGCTTCATAAAAATATAAACTTACTATATCGTATAATATATATTATATAATGTTTAATATGCCCAACATCTAAACTGTGAAGTTCTTTGACTTTTTAAAGCAATCTGTTTTTGCTTAAAAAATATCAAGGAATTGCAGGTGTTGCACGCATTAAACATTGCTCAACTGTTCATGACAAATATAAACAGAGTACCACATTTGTTCACTGACACTCCATTAATAGGAATGTACCAATACTTTTTTAGCTGTATAATCTTTCTGTAATGATAAAAAACAGAAAAAATTGTGTTCACTTAGACAATAGCAAACATAAAATTTGGCTTACGATAAGTAAAAATATAAAATTTCATAACTTCCATATTAGCACACACTTCTACACAATTTTTTGGAGGAAAAAAAGATGATTAGCAAAAAATATTTATTACATATACATGTTACAGTTTAATTAGGTGATATGTATAAAAAAATAATTGGTAAACCTAGTTACTCAAAGAATTTTGTTTCTTTTGCTCACATAAGAACTTCACTGTAACAACCTTAGAAATATATTTAATGCAAATGTTTTTTTAGCAATTTTTCAACAAAATACCGTATTCCTTCATAAATTTTAACAAGTTTCTGGCATTGCAAGCATATCCCCCCAAACGCATATTTTGAAACTGATTTTTAGATATAAAATAGCATAATTTATTTATAAATCTATTGGAATTTGAAATAGTACAACAAACCAAAGCATATAAGAAATAATGATGTTACTTGTTAAAACTGAAGAATTATATCTTGATGACTGCCAGAACTTAACACATTTTGAACATTTTATGATTTCTACTAAAGGTATTTGCACTAATATGTTGGTAGAAAAATTTCTTTGCATTTAAGTAAATATGTATTTGATTTGATAAATGAGAGGAATTAATACTCGGATAGACTATGATTCCAGTTATCTAAGCTCTTGGAATTCTATTGCAAAATAAACTGCAATTTAAACTCAGATGTGTAGCTAGAGGGAAGTGCAGCATTCAAGGGGTGCCAAATTGACGTTATGAAATTTTAGAATTAAATGTTTTCTATTCTCGACAAACATGAGGGGGTGCAAAATCTTCAGCCATCTCCTGGCACTGGAAACGTAGCTATGACTCTCTTTGGACTAAGTATACCTTCAAACTTTCACAGAAAAATTAAGTACACTTAGTATCTGTGTGTAAATGAGCTTCTTGGGCAATACTTTATGATCATTTCATGCTTTGGGTATGGTGTTTATTCAAGGGCCTCAAATGCCCTCTTTCCATGTTTTTATGATAAAGAAATATAATTATGAGGATTTATGAGATTATTTTTGGTTCCTGAAATCTGCAATTCATAGTCTAAGTGATCAAACCTGGCCAAGTTAATCAGGATTGTTTTGGGTTCCTAGTAGTCTTTTTTTCAGATTTTGGATTTAACATCAGAAATGATTTATCTGGAGATATCGGCAACCAATGAAAACATATTGTGAATTCAAACCACAGACAACAAAATAAAGTTCACAAGATTGAAGCCATACAATCATAAAAACCTAAATTTTCAGACAGTCTGAAAAATGGACATTATCATTTAGGAGTCGAGCACTTCAAATATTAATCATAAAGAATAATATTAAAAAGCTGGAACTTGCAGCTGTCCACAACCACTGATTTATATTTAAATTTTAATCTTCTCTTCCGAGTCAAAGTTTTAACAAGTAAAGAAACTTAAAAATGTTAAATTAATATTTTCTCTGTCTAAATATTTGAAGCTTAAATAGTGGTCCAAAGACAGCTTTTTTTTTTAATATGGAATGAATATTTCCTCAGATTTTGATATTCATTTAATACACAGAATAATGTAAATTAAGAATTTTTATAGATGACTTTTATTTTTTAAATATTAGATAATATGAAATTAAATAATCTGTCATGCTATCTAAATTTCTTATATGACCTTTGTTTACATATTATATAAATTTTAAAAAATCATATTTCATAAAAAATTTATATGGTACATTTCCATTTCGCCCGCACAAATCTCGCCTAGAAGACTTTATTGGCAACAACATACAGTATACACATAAAAAATGTTAGTTCTAAGAATTCATTTTTTGAAGGCATAAACATTTTAATATCGCTTAAAATTTTATAAAAAGAAAATAAATAAAGACAATATATTTGTAAAAAGACACTAATTTAAGAATTTACTATGTTTCATGGTTCAACATCCTGATTCGTTGGTTCATATCACGTGACCCCAAGCGATCTCATCTCACGTAAACTACTCTACAAAAATTTAATGCTCTCAGTAATTATCTACATTAGTTTCAAATTAAATCTTAATTTGGAACACAAGTTTATATGCAAGAAATATTTCAATTCGTACGAATAGCTTACTCAGAAATTATGTAAAACTGCAGTGCTTTACTTCGCTAATGCATTTACATTAAAATTGATAAATTAACCCTTGACTTTATCTTTTCTATATTTTCGGCTTCGGGTGAGCGCTGTGATTGCATCCTAATTGACTTAATTGGGTATAGTAGACTTTAAGGTACCCCTTGTATTATGGCAAAGTTGTTTGATTTATCGCCAAGTTGTTGTTTCATTTACGGGGTAGCCTGAGTAGTTGAATGTTATGGAAACTCTATTGTGACGTAATCGGGTGAATGATTCTGGGAAATTTTGAATCATGGGATGTTTTGTAAGCATTTTTGTGGTGTGCGTTGGTTTGATTCTTTAGATGGTAGAATGGGCGAATGTAGTAAGATTAATTTGAAGTTTCTGTACGATTTGGAGCGAAAGGAGAAAAGAGCTTTAATTGACTGGTGTGTAAATGAAGGTTTACTTAGTAGCCATTATAAGTGTTCTGTATGTAGGAAGGATATGTGTATAGTCGAACGTAAAAAACGTTTAGATGGATTTGAATGGGTTTGTAGGAAGAAAGGTTCAGATGGTCACTATGTGAAGCGTTCGATCAGAAAGAGTACCTAGTTTAAAAAAGTCATTTGAGTATGATTGATATTTTGATTTTTACGTGGCTCTGGCTGTACAAAGGGAACTTGAAAATCATGGTAAGTGAATATTTATTTTTGGTCAACATGTTTTTCCTTTTTTATGTTATTTTATTGTTTGGTTTAAAATGCGTTTTATTGAGATTATGTATTTTTTGTTTGCCTATAGTGTAGAATGTGGTGCTCCTTTGACTTTTTAAGTTAAAATATATCGATGTGTACATGGATAAAGTAAAGGGAGTGCGCAATGCAAGTTTGTGCAATTCTGAGATATTTTTTTAAAGTGAAAATAGGTCGACGTGTACATGGATAAAGTTAAAAGAGTGTACAATGCCATTTTTGTGCAATTCGAGGATTTTTTTTAAGTGAAAATAGATCGACGTGTACATGGATAAAAGTCAAAGGAGTGCGCAATGCCATTTTTGTGCAATTCGGGGATTTTTTTTAAAGTGAAAATAAGTCGATGTGCACATGGATACCGAGTTTGTGCAATTTTTGTCTTGTTATTTTGGCTTGTGTTTTTGGAATTTTTGGGTCAAAAACCGCTGCTTCGCAAGCCAAAATAACAAGTCAAAGAATTGTACAAAATCAGTATCCATGTACCACCAAAAATCGCCAAGGAGTACCCTAAACTATACTTTTACTGAAAATGGCCTTAGACATAAAACTGAACTATCTGATAAAATTCTATGTAATTATATGCCAGTATTGAAAGAAACAATGAATATGATAAGAAAAAGCTGCGACTTGTTTTGAAAATGAGGCGTAAAAGGTTACCAGCGAGAATATTCTGTTTGGCATCGGTTGTACCATTATTGGCGACTTTATCGCTTGCGCCGGCAAAACAGAAAAGTACCAAAATTATTAATGCTTATACACATGTTATAAAAATAACAATATTTAATTTATAGCACTTTTCCTTAAAATGTAAAATTTCAAATATCTGACATTTCTTTTCTTATTATTAAGTAAGCAAAAGATACTTCCATATGTACTTCTACCAGAAATTTCAGTTGGTGTCTAGATAACTCGGGGAGCAATTCGAGTAGCACAGACTTCAGTTCAGAATTTAGATACTGAGGACTTTGGAGTTTTCCTTCTTCAGTAACACACATTTCTTAAAGATTTGACAAGTTATCACAGTTTTGTCCACAACATCCAGTACATCTTTGCAAAATCTGATTCATGTTAATTCCTTTCAAAACAATAAATAAATTATGTAACTGTTCTAACCATAACCTAGCTTCCTTCAAATCAGTCTCTAGCTCTCATTCTTGTTATCTATCCTATATTTTCCCAACATACTATATTTAACTGAGATATTGCAGAGGAATTAAGGGCAATAGTCTGAGATTGAAAGGAACTGAAAAAATGTCAGCTTCTATTCTGTTATATCTCAAATGCAAGAGACTCGTTGGGTAGCAAAAGTTGAAAATATGGCTGGAAAGAGAAGGCAGACAGTTTTCGGCAAGTTATTGCCAAAGCCTGGTAGCAACTGAAGTTCTCAGTAGTGGTTAATACACAAATACCAAATAAAATTTCTTTTATGAAAATTAATTCAAGTTTTAGAATACTGTCATGCGATACCTCACATTAGACAACTAATACTCAAAGTCTTACTTACAGGACATTTGATTTTATCCACTAAAATATCCATTTCAGACTTTGAAGGTACACTAGGCTGATTAATAGTACACAAGGGAGAAAAAAGTGTTTACAAATTCAAAAGTTAATTGTTTTTCTTGTTTAGTAACAATCATTTTCTTGATGTAAATGTACTTAGAAAAATAGTTCAAATATACATCAATTTCAGGTCTCATATATATTTTATTATATTACATTCAGTGCATGCTTTAATTAACTATTTACTGAAAATTCAAATTAGCCTGTTCTTTCCTAAATATAATGATCATACATACACAAGGAAAAATGTTTAATTCCTAATTCTAAACTTTCTGAAGGCAAAATTAATGTATATTACTTTTAAAAGTACAGGAAAATAGTTTAAAAAGTAAAAATTAATGTATACATATACCACCCGAAATACAGACTCATTTTCATATCCGGATTATAGTGCCTTTATTATCCCATTGTCATTCCAATCCTGATAAAATAGGAATTTGAGTAAAGAACGCAGTTCGCTAAAGCGGGATCCCGCGCGGTTGCGCTATCCCGGAATATCCAGTGAAGGCGATTTTCTATCTTGTGATTTTTCAGAGCATCAGTAAGTCCTATAAAATAACTGACTGCATTTAAGACTGCATTTAAGAAGCACACAAAAGAAGGGTTAAATATTCACAAAAGGTAAAAGCAATATGTTTAATTGAAACAAACACCACGGAACTCCCACCACATATACAGCTATTCTGATTTTAAAACTCTAGTCAAACTGTTTTGTTTCATTATCATTTAAAATGTGGTAAATGGTACCTATGGAATCCATTAAAAAGTATTTTTCTTTTGAAGTCGGCGGAAAGATTCTGACTGGAAAAATTGCCTGTTGCGAAAAAGTACTGAAACTCACATATCATAAACGATATTAAAACACAATACTTCTTTTCCCATCTCATTTCTGTAGACGGTTTGTGTTTTCCTTGAGATTGTCACTTGAGTATATATTAGTTGTAATATATATTATGTTATGAAAGTGAATTAATCTTAATACAAAAACTTTTAATTTGAACCCTAGTTTACCAATTCCTTTAGTTGATTATATCAGTTTATAGCTCAAAAGTTAATTTTTACAACAAGTGTTCCATCGTAACAACATCTGTACCGAGGAGAACAAATTGCTAACTGTAACCATATTTTCATAATAAAAAAAAAAAAAAAGAGTACCGAATTAAAAACAATGGCGGAATTGGCAAGTGCACGTGTTAAAGAGGCTATAAACTCAATGCTTGAAGAAATTGATAGGTCATGTATGAGAAATATGCAGGTATTTTTCTTGGCATTTTGAATGTCAAAAGGTTTATGCCTTTTCTTTGCTTAGTTTAAAGTTTTAATTTTCCTACCGTGTTAAAAACAACAATCGCGGACGTTTATCTTCGGTAGCGGTCATTTTGACCGCTGTAAACCAACCAACTTTTATTTTACTGTTAACAAAAGTGAGAGAAATGGAAGTGCTTGACAATTTTAGCAGGACATAATGAAATGATTTGAAAACACAAATCTAAGGAAACATTCGTTTTAAATATGCCTTTTACGCAAAATATACAACGAAATGTAAATTTGCATGTCAAAAAAATATTAGCAAGATCATACAGCAAAATGTGGGAACAAAATTTAATTCACACCTTTTGCATTTATAACAGCTTGTAATCTTTTGTCATAGAGAAAAATAAAGTCCTGTTGGAAATTTTGTGCCATTCTTGCAAGAGTATATGCTTAAGTCCATCTTTGCATGAAATTTTATGTTTTATGACTTCTAGGTTAAATTTGTGCCATAAATTATCAATTGGATTTATGTCAGACGATTGAGGCAGTGTCTTTTTGAGTAACTATTACCAGGTGATGTTCTCTGTATCCTTAGGGTCATTGTCCTTGTTGAAACACAAACGATGTTCCTAAGCCAAGTTTGGGCACTGAATTTTATGTTATGACGTAATATGTCAATGTATGTATCCTCAGTGAAACACAGGTTACCAACTCCCTTTGCTGCCATACAGCCCTAAACTATGATGCTTCTCCAACATGTTTTACAGTCAGTACAGAGGCGTAGCTAGAGTTTCCAGCACCCAGGGAGAACTGAAGAATTTGCGCCCCTTTGTGTGCCAAGAATAGAAAACATTTCATTAAAAAATTTCGTAGCATCAATTTGGCACCCCTTGGATGCTGCGCCCGGGGACAGATATCCCCTCTTGCCCCACCCTAGCTATGCCACTGAGTCAGTATTAAATATAGTTTTTCCAGTTCGGTGTTAGGCCTTTTTTCCCACATATTGTCATCCATCACTCTCGAAAATATTAAACTTTGATTTGTCAGACAAAATAACTGTGTTCCAAAATTCGTCAGATAAATTAACATGAGATTTTGCAAATCTAATCTCTTTCTCCTGTTTATTTCTAAAATGAAAGGTTTTTTTCTATCTGCCCTTCTGTAATTTCCTCCATATCAAACATATCAAACATTCCGTATAGTCTGTACATTAAAAATTTTATGCAAAGTATTAGCAACATCTTTGGCTAACTGGGGTGCACTTATTTTAGGGTTTTTCTTAACCTCTTTGATAATGCCACATTTTTCCTTGCAGAAAATATTCAATGCCGTCCACTTCTAATCTTATTTTCCATCGATCCTGTGTCTTTGAACGTTTTTGCAACACTTCTAACAGTAAATAAACTTATGTTTAGTTGTATTCCTATAACACAATAAGTTAAACCCTCATTTCTGAGCTGAATAATCATGTTTTTAATATTAACATCTAACTCCTTCAACTTCGAAGCCATTTTATCACAGTATTAGCAAAATAGCATTTTAAAAGTTTTGAAGTAATACTGCAGACTTTATACTTACAGGGATTCTTATCAGTTTAAATATGTGACCTCAACATAACAAAATTTACATAACTGTTAGAACTTTGCCGATACTTATTTGATATGCAAATTTATGTTTTTGTTGTATATTTTGTGTAAAAGGCATATTGAATTGAAAGTTTCATTAGATTTGTATGTTTATTACCTCCTGTGTTCATTTTGTCCAGCTAAAATTGTCAAGCATTTCCTTTGTTAGGTAGTATGATCATTTAACCCACTGTACATACATTTAGGTACATGAATGTAAATTGAGTATTACAGACAAATACTGAAAATCCGCATTCCCTCTCAAAATATAAACATTCAGTTTATAGGTTCCGGAAACCATAACATTGAGTACGAAATATCGAAGAAAAAATACCTAACGAATAATGCCGTCATAATTAATGAATAATAATGAGCCATAACGGAAATACCAAATTATTGACATCATGATAAAAGTTTTTCCCCCCTCTAATCTGCATCGAGGTAAGAAAGTAGACGATTCACTCAAACTCTTCTTTCAAGTTCACGATTCACGTTGCTGTATTTTCTGAACTTTGTTATTTCATGAGATTATTTAGTGCTGCTTTTTTTATCCGGATATTTTGTGGATAAATTAAGAATATTTTAAATTTCAGCCCCTTTTATACAATTACAGATAAGAAATGCACTCATGATTTTACTGCTTGCAACATTGAAAAATGTAAACACATTTACATGTTAAATGTAAACACATTTAACATTGCATTGATGGTAATGCAAAAAGTGCAAATTCTGCAAAAGATGGACGCAGGTGCTACTCCTCGGTTTATAGCAAGATCGTATGGAATTGTGACACGATTGTGTGTGACATACAGAAAAATAAAGAAAAGCTTTGAAATTTTACAGCAACAGTGATTCTAACACCGAAACCGGAAATCTTTGCATGAGGTGAAATCGTCAAACCTCGATGCTGTGTGTACGTAATACAATGAATATAATCAATTTATATATGTAATAATAATTTAATGCATATAATAAGTTATTGCAATAATGTATATAATAATTTAATTAAATGTATCTAATATGCCTTATTTATTTTGCACTTTTAGTCTGAATATTATGATTTATCTTTTCTGTCCTGAAATCAGCACAACCTCTGGTCCCAAGCTTTGTGGATTTCTGGACTTCTACTGTATTGATTGTTTGACTATAGCTAATTTGTTACAAACATTTAAGTAAATTTTTAATGTAAGTTCTGTGCATCGAGAACAAGCAGTATTATTTTGGAAAGGAATGCTGCATCCTTATCTGTTAAAAAAGAATACAGGCTTGTCGCAAAGAAACATATTTTTAATTAGATTCATAAAACTTAATTGTGTTAGTGCATAAAATTTTTCATGTTGCAGGATATGAATATTTTTAAATTCAAGTGTTTCACCTGTATTTTAATAAAATGCCTTTATAGACATTCAGTATTTGACTGCACGGTTTTACTTCAGTGAAGAAGTTCGTTTATAACAGAGAACAATAAATTATTAATACATCTTTTTGGTTTCAAAAAGGATTTATATTTATTTCAGAATTAAAAAAATAAAAGTCATGTATAATTATTGTGTAATACAAAGTAGGATAAGGATAGCAGGAAGATTTCTAATTGCCGTTGCAGGGTGTGTCCAATAACTTGACATGTTCATTTTCCATATACTGATTTTTTATGCGTACTTAATATGTCTGGTGCTATATTTTTTCATTTTCAATATAAGACTAAAATGTTTCTAACTGGCTTTCAGTACTTTTCTGCATATTTCTATTTCAAGAACATGTTGTTAGCATTCCCCCTAGATATTATACTTATTAAAGTTACTCTAAGCATTTTTTAATATCATTTATTTAAGTAATTTTATGAGTTACTTTCCTGCTGATAATTCATGCTTTATTCACAGTACAGCAAGAACCAGAGTACAGGTCTCCAATGTATAGATAATTCATGATGCTGCAAGGACGGAAGTTCAGGCCTCCTACCTTTTTTACAAAACTGAAGCATAATGTGAGGAAACAATTACTGTTAATTTACATGGGAAGGCCTGAAAAGTAATTTGCCAAATGGCAATATATAATGTAAAAGACTTGAATGATTTAAAGATAAATACTAGCACATAGCAAACAATATAACAAAAGCAGGGATGACATATTAATTAAACAGACTATAATAAGCAAAAAATGTGTGTATGATTTAAGATCAATAGACCTTTTCAAAATTATATTTGTAATTGTCATCTATATAGAATGTATTCCCACAAGTAATTATTCCAGTCTATAATAGCTGTCTCTTCCATGCTTAGTTGCTTTTCACATGATTGGACTGAAGTCAGTTCTTCACTCTAACGATACCACAGTAGCATAAGATATTTTTTAACTTCTGAATTAGTTCATGATGCTAACATCTTTCTTCTTGCAACTCCTTAACATTGCATCTCCAAATGGTTTCTTTTTCAACATACAGTGGCATATAATGGCTGTTTTCACAAATTCTTTGAGAATGTTAATTCCCCCCCCCCCTGTTGTGAAAAAACTGTAACATCTTTTTTTGTTGATGCCAAATTGAAAATAGCAAACATATTGGAAATTTAAGCAAAGGAAAATTGTTCATTTAGCGCTACAAACTTTTTGAGCTGAAAAAATGTAAACCATGTGCAGATTAGAAATTTTGTCATTGTTCACTGTTTAGTCACGTTTGTAATACAGTCAAAAGTCGTTAATCCGGACTCGTCGGGACTTCGGCGATTCCGGATTATCGATTTTTCTGGATTATAGATCATCAGTTTAAATCTGCTAAAATGGCATGCAGAAATTATAAAATTAAAAATATGAAACCGTAATTTACGAAATAAAGAACAATTATGATCTAAAGGGTATCAAAATTTACAAAAAAAAAAAAAGCTTAATATTTATTTGTTTACTTTATTAAACATTTCTTTCAATGTAAGTTGTTTAAGTTGCTTCGTTTTTTATGTGATAATACATTCTCCTTAATTCTATAAACAGACATAATTTCTTCAGTTACAAAGTTCCGCTGTTCAAGTCCTATAATTGCTGTGTCGAGAATACCCACTAATTTGTCAATCGAAATTTTTTCGTTTTCAATAACCTCTGTTACTTTCTTTGCTATCGGAAGCGAATTATAATGACGAGGCATTTGATTTAAATCATATCAAAGACGGAGTACATCGAGATGAAATACTACATTGAGTAAGCCAAATAAAATAAAAACATCTGCCCTTAAGATAAGGATAGTGCTGACAGATGAACTTGCCGCGTTAAAGATAAACAAAGTTTAGATAAAACAAACGTTAAAGATTAGATAACCAAAGGATATGCCTTTATCCATTTTTTGCAGCACTTCCACTTTTTGTTTAATGGACTCCGAAAGATACTTTCG